TATATATTACATTTCTTTGAGTTTTTATATAAAAAGATGGCAATTTGTGGTGGTATGCAGTCTATGATTTTGGGAAGTCCAATAGTGTCAAAGAGGAATGGAGTGAATCAGTTCGTTCCTTGTTGTAACATTCCACGCCCTCAGAGGAATTCTACTCTTAGTGTTAAGTGTATGTCCGAGGTAAGATGTTGGATGATTTAATTTTATTTTAAAAAACATGATAAAACTATGTCCGAATTTATCGTCAAAGTTTAGTATTTTAGCTCTCATAATTCGTACCAGGAGTGGCAGACGGGTGGGTCGGATCAGATCAGATCCGATATGATTTGGGTCCAAAACGGGTAATGAGAAACGGATAAGTTATTCGATCCGATCATAATTAATATGGATAAAAAACGAGTTAACCGGCCATGATTTATTGCAAATAATCACTTTTAGAATTTTTTTTAGTTTCCCTAACTTGAGAAACTCTAGATTTGAGGTTTTATATATCTAAAAGTTAGACCTATTAGTTATTCATTGGTTACTCATTGATTATTCATATTTTAAGCGGATAATATGATTCTTATTCATATTTGTTTTTTTTTTTTAAAAAGTTTATTATCTAACTCATTTTTTAGTGGACAATATAAGTGATTAACTATTTTTTTTTAACCATTTTGGCATCCCGTATATGCCAACAAAGTGAAACGGAAGGAGTATTCTAATTTCAGGTTTTTTTGTCTTATACTTATTAACATGCTCTTATGGTCACAAATATGAAAATATTGCATGTTATTATTATTATTATTATTATTTTTTTTTTTTGCGTGCCAAGCTACTTTAAATTAATGAAATATTGACGTTTGAAAAATTTGCAGGATGGTGAGAAGGGCCAAACTTCAAACTCCTTGAATGATATTGCTACAACACCTACGCCAACACCAACACCCATACCAACACCTCGTCCTGTGGCTAAGGTCTACATTTTTCAACTTTTTCAAAAACTACAAAATTTTATGTGATATATTTACTTAAATATAATTTTATCTGTTTCAGTTTACGTGAAATAGATCAAACAAATAATATTCACTAACATAGCAAATGCAGAAACAAAGAATGATTAGTATGTTTAAGTATATACTTCGCCCTTTTATTAGTATAATTAATGATACTTATTATAAGTACAAGTGGTGTTTTTCAAGTGACATAATAATATGCATATTTAATACTTTCTCCTTTCACTTTTATTTATCTACTATATAAAAAATATATTTTTATTTTTATTTGTCATTGTATTAAATCAAGAGAATGACGATTTTTTTCTTCCTGTTTTACCCTTATAACTAATTATTCATTTTTTAAATCATTTTTGATGACTTTTGGAAATGCTATATAATATTATTGTGAGTAAAATTATAAAATACATACTTTTTTTGAAGGGAGTGAAAGTGAAAAATAGACAACTAGTACTGAACTGCGAAATTTTTAGTATTTTGATATTTATTAGCATAAATATTTAATATTATTGTTTTGATATGTATTAGTACTTCTATCACTTCAACAGGCAAGATCATTGTTCTAACATTTCTCATACAATTTTGTGAACAGACCAGCACCAAATTCGGAGACCTATTCGCCTTCTCTGGTCCAGCACCAGAGCGTATTAATGGCAGGCTAGCAATGATAGGATTTGTCGCCGCCCTTGGCGCTGAATTCGCCAACGGCGGCGACATCTTCGCTCAGCTATCGAGCGGAGGTTTCTCGTGGTTTTTGGGGACAAGTGCTTTGCTAACACTAGCCTCTCTAATTCCTCTATTTCAAGGAATTAGAGCTGAGAAAAAATATACAAGTGGGATTATGAGTGCTGATGCTGAGATTTGGAATGGAAGATTTGCTATGTTGGGATTAGTTGCCCTGGCTTTTACTGAATATGTTAAAGGGGGAGCTTTTCTCCAAGTGTAAATATAGTAAAACTTCTATATAACAGTCTCGTTTGTTTCGAATTTTTTCAGTTGCTATAGTGAATTGTTGTTGTTGCTATAGTGAATTGTTGTTGTAGAGTACATATATCATAATATAATGTAATATTCGATTTCGAGAAAAAGTTAAGTTCGACTTTTATAGCGAAATTATTATATAAGAATGTTGTTGTATAGATATGTGATTGTAATTTAATTGTAAAAATAGATTAATGTGACTATCGGTTCTTGGCTTTGTTTTCTTATAATCTATTCGAGTACATGGAAAGTTATACGACTTTTTGACTTTGTAAGAATATGAAAATGAGTGCCAAAATATTTAACCTACTTTGCTATTTTTATGTATTTGCTTAGTTATGCTGTTTAAGTTTGATATATTGAAAAATATATATTCCAATTTGGTGTAGCCTTCTTTGTTCCCCCCTACTGCCCTATGAATTAAAATGATATTCTCAAGACTTAACATGGCGAAAAGGAAATAATACATGGCCAGAAAACCTGATTTTTATTTTAATAAAAAAATTATACTTTTCGGGATTGTTTGCTTTGTATACGGCTTATGCTATAAGCCGGATAAGTTATGTCGGAATTAGTTATGTTGGGATTAGTTATCTGGTATTGTTTTTTATCCATTGTTTGGTATGTTGTATTAAAAATAACAATTGTATAATTTTTAAGAAGAAAATATAAGTTATCCTAGCAGTAATTACCCTACCCGTATAGGGTATAAGTTATCCCGATACTAATTTTAATCTCGGAATAACTTATATCAAGTTTGCTAACCAAACAAAGTATTAAGGTGATATTAAATTTTTATATCATCATTATATCTACTTATAGCTCATATCAAATGACCCCTCAGTGTCTCAAATATTAGCAAATTCTTAATTTGGTCCTCATAATATCTGGATAAGCAAATTAAATTTTTAATTAATTGATCTGTGTACTTTTATATTTACATTTTCATAATTGCGACAATTTATCTCTTTCACAAATACGAGCAACATAATATACAGTTGTTATTTCAGCTGACATAAAATAATTAATCAATCAAAGTTTGAGATGCAAACTCGCTATTATTCTGAAGACGAGTTGTCTTCATTACATAATTTAAAAATCTATGTTCTTAAGCTAATTATTTGGCGAAACAATTTGAACCCCTATCTTCAAAGAGTGTCACATAAAGGTTACATTTCCGACATTCTTGCCTCATACATGAAAAAAGAGGAAAAATCAAGTATTATTAGATAATAAAATTCCTCTTTTTATTTAATTTTTTTTATATAAAGAAAAGGAACTCCATAAAAGTAGCATTAAACTTGTTATAAGCAAAAACCCCCGGTTTTTCTCTCGGCGCACGTTAGGCGACTGACTAACCTGCGCCTTCATCGAAAATGGAAGGAAGAGGACGACCGAGGAAGAATACCACCAAAAAGCCAGTACTAGATCAGAAGATTACGATGACTAGATCGAGTGAACAAGGGAAAGGTAAGGCCAAAGCCAAGGATCAAATACAGGAGGAGGAGATAGAGCATGAAAATGATAGTGACGATAACTAGCCAGATCTGGACAAGTATCGGAATCAAGCAACAACACCAGTGAATTCTAGCAGGAAATTGGCACTGACGGAAAACATGAACAAAGGAAATTGCGAAATGAGGGTTGTAAGTGAGAAACCCAGCTTGAGTGAGGCAAAATCCAATGGAACAACACATGCAAGCTCAAGCAAGAAACAGAGGGCTATTTCTATGGATAACCAAAAGGAATCTCAAGTGAAGAACTCAATTCCAGCAGTTGATAAGGGTCAATCATGGGCGGGATCACTCCAGGAGAACAAGTTAGCTGCAAAAGGTATGAATCTCACCTATATACCCCCGACAATGAAGGATGGTGAAGTTGTTGTGCAGCTGATGGAGGAAGACATTGAAGAGGAAAATGTAAAACGGACTAGAGCAGTAATATTGTATGTGGTGGGGAATACACCTTCAATCAGAGCCATCGAAAGGTTCATCACTAATCAATGGGCAAGTTTGCAGAAACCTAAGGTATTATTTCATAATGATGGATATTTCATAGTCATGCGTAGTACTAATGAAGAGAAGGAGAGAGTGCTGATGAATGGTCCTTCTACAATTAACAATAGGCCAGTTATCATGAGGCAATGGTCGAAGAATTTTGATTTTAATGAAGAAGTTCTGAGGACTATCCCTCTGTGGATCAAGCCTCCAAATCTACCGCTTAACCTTTGGAGTAATCAAGCGTTAAGTAAGATAGGAAGTAGTTTGGGGAAACCAAAATATGCTGATGCTTCTACAATGATTGCTGAGAGAATTTTATATGCAAGAATTTTAATAGAGATGGACGTTACTAGGCCATTACCAGAGAAGATTAAGCTATGTGATCCAAAAGGAAAGGTGTTGGAACAATTAGTACACTATGACTGGAAACCATTATACTGCCAAAAATGCTGTCAACTTGGCCATACATGTAAGGATCAAAGGAAGCTGAGACAGGATGCAGTGAGGAAAAATGTGGAAGGGAAGAAAAAGCAGGAGTGGAGAAAAGTTAGAGCACTTGATCCTAAGGTTGACAAAACTGATGCACAAGGGAGATTTAATGAACAATTGGAGGAAGAAGCAACTATATATAATAGTAACTCAGAGGTTGAAACACAATGGCAAATAGCTCGAGGAAGATTTGCAACTAAGAAGCACACAAATGTGATAAGGGAAAAGGAAGTGGATATTGGCAATGCTTTCAAAGCTCTGGTTGATAATGCTCAAAAAATTGTTCAACTGTCTGAAGCTCAAGGTGCAAAAGAAATGCAAAACAAGGAAGATAAGGGTGGACCTCCAATTTTATCTATTATATCATGATGAACTTTATTGCATGGAATGTAAGGGGTCTGAATAAGGTGTACAAACAAAAAGAACTAAAATTTTTTTGCAGGATTAATAATGTAGTATTGATAGCCATAATTGAACATAGAGTGAAGCAAAGTAATGCTGAGTCTGTGTTAAGGAAGGCTCTGAAAAACTGGAAATGGGTGGATAACTATGATGAGGCTCCTGGGGGTAGAATATGGGTTGCATGGGATTCTACATTGGTGGACTATACAATGACTAAATATCATGAACAATTTATTCTGGGAAAAGTAACAACATTGTAGCAGAATGTTCAGTTTCACCTATGTGCTGTCTATGGTAAGCATACAATGCATGACAGAAAGAATCTATGGGAGGAGATGCTGATATGAGTAGTCAATATAAGGAGTCCTTGCCTTATAATGGGGGACTTCAATACAATTCAAACCAGTGAAGATAGATTCAATGGTAGTCCTGTGTAGGAGATGGAGATAAGGGAATTTAAATAATTTTTAGTGGATGCTAAAGTAGATGAACTGAAGACAGTGGGAAGACAATACACATGGACTAATAACTATGTATATAGTAGGATTGATAGAATTCTGGTAAATTCTGAATGGATACAAATGTGGCCCAATATGGAGGGGGTGTCTATGAACCCTGGTTTCTCTGATCATTGCCCTCTAAGTGTGAAGTTTGATACAAGTAGCCAAGTTGGAGGGAAACCTTTCAAGTTTTTGAACTGTCTGGTAAACTTGAAGTCTTTTGAAGATATAGTGCAGATTGGTTGAGAGCTTGGGAAGAGCAGACAAACAATGTTGACAATGTGGAACAAATTTAAGAAGTTAAAAGTGTTACTGAAGCAGATGAATAAAGAGGAGTTCAGTGGCATTGATAGTAAGCATGGTGCTAGAGAAAGATTAGAAAGTATACATAACCAAATGAGTTGTCCTGACCAAGGAGAAATGTAGGTTGAATTGGAAAGAACTACTGAATTGGAGCTAGAGAAATGGCTAATGGTGGATGAGAGTATTATGAAGCAAAAGTCCAGAGTACAGTGGCTTAATTTGGGAGATTCTAATACAACTTTTTATCATGCTTGTATGAAAAATAGACAAGCAAGGAACAACATTGGCAGGTTAATCGATAGTAATGGGGATATAGTGCAAAATACTGAAGAGATAAAAGCATAAATTCTAAATTTTTATAGGGGGTTACTTGGTAGTTCAGCTACACAGCTACCAATGATCAACTATGATATAATGAAGAATGACAATGTGTTGAACATGAGTCAACAACTACAGTTAATCAGTCCAGTCAGCAACGAAGAGGTGAAACAAGCTTTATTGGGCATTGATGATAACAAGGCACCAATGTGTGATGGGTATAACTCCTACTTCTTTAAGAAGACATGGAACATTGTGGGAGAGGAAATAACTGCAACAGTTCAAGATTTCTTTGAGAGTGCAGATATGTGTAAAGCCATTAATTGCAAAACAATCACACTGATTCCAAATATCCAGAATCCAACAAACATAAGAGACTTTAAACCTATTTCTTGCTATACAGTTCTATATAAGCTCATCTCTAAAGTGATAACTACAAGAATGCAAGGGGTGATGGATAGACTGGTGGATAATTGTCAAGCTGCTTTTGTACTTGGAAAGCTGATCACAGATAACATTTTGATGAGTCATGAACTAGTGAAAGGTTATGGAAGGAAGAGTATCTCCCCTAGATGTATGCTTAAAATTGACATGCAAAAAGCATATGACTCTGTGGAGTGGATGTACATAGAACAAGTGTTAAGGTCACTGAATTTTCCAGAAATCTTTGTGAGATGGATAATGGCTTGCATTAGTACAATGATTTATTCAGTTCTAATAAATGGTAGTCCAACAGATCCTTTTGAGGCAAAGAAGGGGCTCAGGCATGGTGATTCACTTTCACCTTTCTTATTTGTTTTGGCTATGGAATACCTGAGCAGGTCATTTGTCACGACCCAAAATCCAACTAGTCATGATGATACCTAACCCATCCCGCTAGGTAAGCCAACTCATCAAGTCCAATAAAAATATAACATATTAAGAAAAAATAAATGATCTCTTATACACCTCCCAAGGACTGGCAGTACAAATCATGAGCTTCTATGAGTAGAATTTACAAAACTGATATGAAATAAATACATTTTTTGTTTGAAAAGTACATAAACAGAGTTTAATAAATCTAAGGCTACCATGAACAAGAGGCAGCTACAACAGGGATGTCGAAACATCTTCCAAGTTAGATCTCATCGAACATGACGGCATCGGCA